TATTCAATGATCCATGATTTTTTTTAACGTTTTTACAATTGAAGATGTACTGTCTGTGTGCTTATATTCTGGTTAAGAGCTGGTTTTCTAAGCTTAATGACAAGATATTATATCATTCTAAGTGAAATTTTTCCCGTGAATGGAGAGTGGCGTGGAAGAAACTGGAGATGGATACATCACATTCGTTTAGACAGTGGTTGGTCGTACAACTTGTGTTGTAGGTTTGACATTCCAGTGTTCTTCTATTCAACTGCAGAGCTTTTAAAACCAGATCTTATCGTAGGCTTCGTAGACAGAAATGGCGCTCAAAATTAACAACCTCGAGATGGCATGGTCTCCGAGCGGGTACAGTGGCTGCCGCGTGTAATCATGAGTCAACTGGCAAAGCCTTAGTGAGAGAGAAAGAGGGGACTCTCCTTCAAATTATCGGTTATTTACGAATCAGTTTCCCCAAAGCTAAATGAGTTCCACTTCCTTGCTCGAGGTGACCTTGTCAATGAAAACAGCCTGTAGTGACGACAGGTGATTCATATCAACGTTTCGGGTAACTTCGATCTGCAGTTTTCATCAGACATCACAATACGCAACCTAAGTCTCCTACTACACAAACAGCTGCTTCTTTGAAAACATCAGCGAGGGGAACGGATGTTTTCTAGACGAGTTCATTACTAAACTTAGTCAGAGTAGAAATAGAAATATCGAAATATGTGCCTCTGTTTTCATTTCTTGGGTGTTGAAAAAAATAATGGCGATGTATACGTGATTCATATTAACTTTCAGTTTAATTATGTTATATAAGGTCTACTTCTTTAATAAATAGCTTATCATAGTATTACACAGAGTTTAATGAAGTGAACTAACTGCCTTGACTTTGAGATAACGTAGACACGGCGCCTGTCTTTGAGTTGTCAATACTCACGGCTTGTTGGTTTTTACTTCCCTGCCCACTACTCTTATTTCTGACTTCATACCCATCAAGAGAGAGAAAGTATCGTAGAAAAAAAAGAATGTGACATTTTTCTTCGGAGTACCCGAAATTTAAGAAAACTGTTTTATATTTTTGTGTGGATCTGCACAGCAAACAAACTTCAATTTAATAAATATTATTAAGATTAACTGAGTGCGCTTGTAAACACTACTGGTTGTTTAAAACCAGCGTTTGTTGTTTTCTCATATTCCTTCCTCGATAAATGAATAGAAACACACGCCCCCAGTGGCACAGCGGCATGTCTGCGGACTTACAACGCTAGAAACTGGGTTTCGATACCTGTGGTGGGCAGAGCACAAATAGCCCATTGTGTAGCTTTGTGCATAATTCCAAACAAACAAACAACAGAAACACGATCACCATGATTGTTAAAATCTAATGAATGCATTTATGCTTATAATGTTCTTGTTGTTATAATGTTATTTAAAGGATGACGTCAGTAAGTAATATTGTAATCCAGTTGATGAACTCTCTTTGTTTTGTATATATATATATATATGTGCTTTGTTAAAGTAATAGTAATGATGAGCTGAAACGAACGTCTTAGTGTTCAAGCATTATCTATCTGTCTACATTAATATTTGATGCTCGCTGATAGGCCTATGTTCACTACCGTAGACTTAAGTAGAATTTAATTTTCGAAAATTCACATGTTATTAGGGGCAAAGTTGCCAATTCCGCTTAAAAACCGAGGTACTGAGCTTGTCTTTTCTTGCGGTCGCTTGTTATTTTGTTTTGTCGCTTTTAACTTTTTAATATATTTTAGGTCGTTTTTGGTCCTTGTCGATTTTGGTGATGGAAACATGATAAAAAGAGCGCGATCAATTAAATATTATTTAGCTAAGAAAAACCCAAACACATAATAACAAGTGACTGAATAAGGTTACTGAATGTTCACGTGACCGGAGATGAAGTAAGGGGAAGACTGGGAGTGTTTGGGGCTTATTTTCAAAGTCCGGATTGTTTATTTCCTGTCTAAGATCTGGCAACCCTGATTAAGAGTATAACAAAACTAGTTTTCGTTAAATTATTGGAATTTTTCAATGAAGAATCAAATTTTTGTTTTAATGGTTGTCATTGTGAACAGATAACCCACAATACTAGATTACATACGTTAGTAACTATTTTAAATATATTCAAGGGAATATTAACCCTAACTTACAGTAATTCTTACAAATCTCTGTATCACGCCTCCACATCGGCATGACCAACACATCAGAGAAGTAATGAAGAGAAGTGTAAACAAACAGATATAATTTCTATGAAAGTTTTAAGTTACGTATTGCATTAAATGTAATGAACCACTTATAAGACACTGTTACGCCTCCAGTCGTTAGTTAATTAATTTTCCGCAAATTAGTTCCAACGAAACTTTAGCGACACAAGTCCTTTCTTAAATAAAACTGGTTTATTCTTTCCGAATACAACTTTATCGATACACTTAATTTCAACAGTCGCTTTATAACAAACGCTATAATTCTCAAAGAACATCTCACGTGCTCGTGCTCGACAATACTCAGTTCAATTACACATTGTTCTGTCACGTTGTGACCGTCTTATATACCAGTCTACCCCAATCTAGTAGTCTCCCGAAGGTTCGAGAAGAACGTGGCGTGATACTAGTCACGTGACCTCGCTGACGCAACAACACGAAAAAAAATAAAAACATCATAATTTGTGATGACAAAAATGGTTTTGAACAACATTCAATTATAGTTTTGATATGAGATCACTAAAAAATACATATTTTTTCTTTAAAAAAATATGGTTTAGGATATATTTTGGTAGCCCATTGTGCTTAACTTCAAACAAAACAAAAAAAAACAAATTATAGCTACTGGATAGTACCCCTATTTAAGTTTCGCAGTACTTCCGCTCATAATCTTGTACATATATATTATATAAACACATACGGATTTCATCAAAATAATAATTTTTAATACTGCTTAGATGCAGAAGAGATCAGGAAGGAAATAAGAACAAAGCAGCTTATCAAAAACGAAAATCACCGAACAGTGTCGACGTTGTTAGTATTTATATTCAGCATTCATGCAAATAAACAAGTTGATTGTTTATTTGTATATTTAATAACTAAAGAAACGTGTTTGGGGATCAGTGTTTGTTGTTAAGCGCAACGCTACACAAAGGGCTATGTGTGCTCTGCCCACCAGTATTGTAAATCCGCAAACACTCCGCTGTTCCACTGGAGGGGGGGGGGTATCGAAATCCAGCTTTCAGACTTACCGTTGAGACACTGGAAGGCATGAATAATCACAGACAGAGTTATGTATCTCCTTCAAAAATAATTTGTTAGCCTCAAAAATTATCTTTCGTTGAATAACTTATTTAGATACTTCAATAACTGGCCAATGATTACGATTCATCTACTTCATTTGTTTTATCTTAAGTATTTCTCGATGGAGTAACGTGATTGTATCTCTGTAAAACGAGATTTCTCTTCAAGTCTTTTGATACGTAAAATATTAGTGGTCAAGTAATCGAATTAATTTAAATACTGTTCTAAAACTCTTTACTGATTAAACATGAAGCTTTGTTTGTTTTTCATATAATCGCGCAAATCTTCACAAGGTTTGTTTTTGCTAGCCATCCCTAATTTTGAACAGACAGACAGCAACAGCTCTAACCTTATTTCTTAGATAACATTCAAGGTCAAGCGACAGAATTATATAAGGACAAACAGCAACAAGTGCATTTCTGGCAGGGTTCCAATTTTTGATGACACGTGCGTTTGCATATGCCATTCGATACAAATAAAACATACGTTCATGAAGATAATCTGGCAAATTCTAGATATCTCAAAATACGATTGAGGGTTTAAAATTCACGACTTGTAGAGCTTTAAATGTCGTTTCATGCATACTTTCAATTTAATGAAAAAATGAATGTTCCAAAGTCAAATATAATGAGATGCTATCTCGTAATCTTTATACTTTAAACTAATTCCATAACGTGCATCATGATGTTTCATGTGCGTAGAAAAATATAAATGTTAATAAAATTTTGAAATAAAAGGTGATACTTGTAACAAATATTGAATTCAAACAACATGCGTATATTAGAAGTCAGTTACCTGAGTTTACAGTTATCTAAAGCGTACATCATCGTGTATCTAAATTGTTTAAAATTTAGCCCCCCCACACACACACATACACAATCATTTCTTAGTTACGTCTGTAAGTTTTAATGTAAGTAAAATTTCCTGCACACTGAATTCCTTGCATGGAATTTTAATACTATATTTATTACTAGCTGGAGTACCCGTACTCTGGACAGAAGTTATGTAAATTCTTGATTAATGAAAGGTTATCTTAGGACATGAAAAGTTGCTTTCCTTGTACTTAATAGTAAAAAAATGCCCATAAAAACTGCAAAACACAAAATGCGAAACCGCAAAGTCGCATGTATCTCTGTATGCACCCAACAAACTTTCATGCCAAATTTGGTGAAGATCCATCAACAGGGGGCGAAGTAGTGGTAGAAAACGCAAACTGCAAAACTGGAAATTTGCATGTACCTCCCCACGGACCCAATGAGCCTTCATACCAATTTTGGTGAAGATCCATCCACACCCTGCGAAGTAGTTACATAGACGTACAGCAGACAGTATTATTATATTTGTATAGATTCGCATGTTTACATAAAAACTATTTTTGTTCTAAAGAATATTCAATACAGAGTTCATTTGTTTCTTGCTACCAGGCTTCTTACATTTTTATATGATGCTAAAATAAATAAAACTTCTGTACTGAAATAAATTTTTTAGTTGTATGAAATCGTATTACACTAATAGCACCGTTTTTTTTTTCTTTTATTTAAATGCTATATTATTTAACAACACATTTACTTATACTGACCTAACGAAGTGTAAACAATACGAAAGCTATGAGCCTAAACCGTCATGTGAACATTTCTGGAACGTTCATCCAATGGTGGTTTAGTTTCTCGAAGTTTCTAGAGGGCGCACCACAACCTTTAAAAACGATTTCTGGCGCGTTGCGTTCATATTACAGTTGCCGTATTACTGGTAGTGAGAAGTCAAAGCTATTTCGACTTTATTAAATATTGTTAGTATGGCTTTTTCACGTGGTTTAATACCTGCATTATTTGGCCGAGATTGGTGGGAAACAGGAGATTTTCCAAGTCGTATCGCAGATCAGCATTTCGGGCTTGGGCTTCATGACAGTGATATTTTTACGCCAACCATGTATCATGGCTACTACAGGCGGCCCCGGCGACAAGTAAGCCGTCAGTCAAGAGGCGGTCATTCGCAGGTGAAAAACGAAGCTGATAAATTCCAGGTTTTACTTGATGTTAGTCATTTTGCTCCTAACGAAATAAATGTGAAAACTATAGAGAATTTCGTTGTCATTGAAGGTAAACACGAAGAAAAACCAGATGAGCACGGCCTTATATCCCGACAATTCGTACGACGATACATGTTGCCCAAAGAAGTTGACCCAGAAACTGTACAATCTTCCCTGAGTTCGGACGGAATCTTGACGGTTGAGGCACCTAAGAAAGCCTTGGAGGGTGAACAGCCAAATGAACGAGTGGTACAGATACAAATGAGCGACAAACCGGCATTGAAAGAAGGACAGCAAGAACAGTAAAAATGTACACTAAATATAATGTTAGTGTTGAGCTACTGTTACTTTTAATTTTATACTGAATTGGAATCTAGCCAAATGATTCATATGTGTCAACTAAAAATGTGTAACAAGTATTTTTATGAGGTTTGATTTTTGGCGCTACTACTACTAGACGGAATAATTAAGTTTAAATAATAACCATTTGTCATCGTTTTGTTTGAATGTAATAGTTTGTCATTTTCTTCAAGTTGTAATAATCAGTCCTTAGTAGTAATAAAAATAAATAATGAGAAGTTCGACTATTCAGATGTCCTTTTGTTTATTCTTTTTACATATTGTCTAAAAAGTAACTATACATTGTATTTTTTATAATACGTAATTAGATGCATATTGGTAATCGCTCGCGTGATATACTAGTATTACATATTTATTAGTAACTAACTAAAAAAGCCTTAAGGGACTTAATAAAGAAAGTAATATCCGTAATACTATTACTAATAGTAATACTATCTTGTGACAACTACAATTATACTTTAGGAGCTTAGAAAGAACGTTCTCTCTACAAACTGATATTTTAACAAGGAGGTTTCAAATTTTGTCATATTTAACTTTTAAGATTTAACGCATAGTTGTTAACTTCATACGAAAATGATCTTGTATTTCTACAACTGTATGTACGTTTTAACAATTACATTAAAAGTTAAGTTCGTTCTTCCGACAGTTTCAAAAACATTTAAAACCTACTTTGTGTAAAATATCTATAAATTTTGAAGTAAAGAAACTACGAAAGCATGAACCGCACGAATAATTTTAAAGCAACCATGGGAAACATCAACACTACAATGGAAATGTCACCATTATTTAAGGACACAGTCAAACATTGTTGGGGAACATTGACTATATTTAACGCTGTAATCTCGCGGGTGGAGTGCAGCACAGGTTAATTATGATTAGGTAGGCCATCAGTGACTAGAAAATTACACTAAACACGTTAAATTGACAAAATATTCCACTAAATCGAACGGCAGAGGATATTCTAACTACTATAGCTAATTAATGGTTAGTGTTACCGATGGGAGGTTATACTTAAAGCAAAAACTATGTCTGGTATATTTTTTATATGTTTGTATTATTAAACATTTCTGATTAAAATTGAGCTTAATAGATTATATATATATATATATATATATATATATATTCTAAGACTCACTATAGTGTGTCGTGCGGCCAAACAACCTCCTGTGTGTTATTAACAGGGGTGGTAGTTTAGCGACTTTCTACCGTCTGTATCTCGGACTGTGATAATCCAAACTATCTCATATTTACAGCTGATGTGTACTACTGGACTCTTACTTCACATACAAACTTTTAAGGCAATCCATTAACAAATACCTGAGATCTAACATCTTAAATTTTGATTGTAGTTTTCTTTTTCTTCGTACCAAAAGTAGGGGAACTTTGATAAAAACACTTTTATGAATTTGTTTTTTGTCTTCTTTAAGCTTGATACACAATTGGGAGTCTCGTTTGGTATAATTATTAGTCACACGTGCAAAGTTATTAATAAAAAAAACAAAAAAAACTCAAATTTGACGAAATGCTTTGCGCATGCCTACACAAAACGTCACTGGAGCTATCGATCTAACATTTTTACTACAGCTTCGCCTGAGAATAAAAGTGGACAGTTTTCGTCATTCGGATTAAAGACAGCTGACTTAAAGCAACAAAACTATAAGGTGAAAGGACGTGCAGGTACACAAATATTGCTTAGGCCAAGAAAACTAGATTAGCAGTTTTTAGCTCAAGATTTCAAAAGAATCATACGGATAGACAGTTATTATTGATTATTCATTGCCAACTTTTCAACACAAATTTACTGAAGTTTATGAAATTATCCCAACTAAAGAGCATTTAGCGTCACGTGATATTAGCTTAAGCTATAAGCTTAAATAATGATGCTTGATGCAGCTGTACCAATTGCATGGAGGTGATAACAAAAAACAGTTAATCTAAATTCCATGGCGTTACTATAAGGGGAACTATTAACACTGTTTTACAGAAGAACACCTACCACCATATATTTTAAAGAATCTGGTTGGTTCTGTAAAGTAAAAATCAGTTACGAATGTTGACGTGGGTTATTATTGAGTGTCACTTTCTTACTTGCTTTGTTTTGTTGGTGTGTATTGACAAAAAGTCATGATATCTAATCAAAAATATCTTGGGTGTGAAAAAAGATTGAGTGTGTACGACTTTAAGGAATGAAATCAGAATTCGGGGCCAAATTAGTAGCTAAACTTTTAGCATTGATAAGAATTTTACAGCAAATATCAATTCATTACTTAGATAGGCCGCGTATTTTATTTTACTCACCATCATGTCCCAAGTTGAACTTTTATTTTGTCTAAAGATTGAACAAAAAACTGTAAATTGTATGCATGCTTAGAATACAATTATTCATGTCAGTATAAGTATTGATGTTACTTTTTGTGTAAAATATAAATCACTGAAAATGGTAATAAATGAAAAAGTGTTTTTATTCCTAATCATAATGGTAATTAATATTTTCATTAACTGTTAATAAGCTTGTGTTCTTCCAATTCTCTGATAATACTGAACTTAAGGTTTGAAGTGTAATACAAAATCAAACTGTAATACAGTTACCACAATTAAAAATGGTGTGGATAAATTCATAACAGTAAAGCATTCTTCTTTATACAATTTCTTTATCAAATGTTTTGAAAAACTACCCAAATCAGAATAAGTAAGAAATTGCAAATTATAATATTTTAAAATGATAACATATAACATGAAAATAAGAAGCTAGTAAATGCGTGGTATGTTTGTATACCACAACTATTTGTTTTAAATCAGAACTAATAATTTTTCTTTTACGTTATTCAGTAAGATTAGCGTATGATAACTTTATAATCAGTAAAATATATACATATAATTATTCATTTTTATAATGAGCAACCACTAAAATAACTGATGCAAGTTGCCTCGATAAAATCAGTGAAAAAATAGGGTGACAACTTGAAACCCCATTGCTTAAGAGAAAGTAATGTGATAACTAGTTTATAATCTTTCTGTGCCATCCCGTGTATAAACAAAGGCTTTCAACTTCTTATTCTTGAATCACATTTTCTTTGAAACTGTCCATGTTTTGGATCTACATAACTGAAAGACATTTTTGTAGATCAAAAACTTATTAGTAATCCTTTGAAAGGCCTTAATGCATAATTTAAAATATATAACTGAACTTATAGGTAACATAACTCTTTTCTAAGTATATAAAACACTTCTTTTTAGTATCACAAATGCTTAAAATAAGTTCATCAAACATGATGTAGACAGACAGATATACGAGTAAATGTAACTTTTAGTGAAACTTTAAAATTTGGTGTCAGTGGATGTACTGTTGGTATTTAATGGGTTAATTGCATAATTGAAAACACTTCCAAATATTGCACACGTTTCATGATAAACATGACCAAATTGATGGTCACTCAACACAATGGGCAATTTTTGCCTATAATTGCTTTGACAGAAGCCTAGCTACTACTACTGAATACTAGCACTACAGAAGAAAGAATTTAAGACTAATAATTTAGAAAAATAAATATGTAAGTTCACCCTAAGTGTTTTAAAAATGTTATTTATGCCTAATACTTTTGTACGCTAACTTTTAGAATATTGATATTATTTATTTGTTATGATCTTAACTGTTAATAATGTTATAGTTCCATGCAATGCTATAAACTTTAAAATTCTACACAGAAGTTCTTTTTGATATGAAATTCTGTTACATTTTTAGCAACGTACCCTTTAAGTAACATCGTTTTCACTTATGAAGGTTCTTAAATGAAAATACTTAACTAAATGTGAATTTTTTGCATATATTATTACTAAGATACGAAATCGTCATACGTACTCACTTTCTAGAACGTTCGCGTAATGGTGAGTTAGATATTCGAACTCTATAGAGGGCGCAATTTGAATTGTGATTGCGCAACTCGGAAGGGCGAAAAGCATCATGTAGACAATTCTAGAAAGTTCACCACAGCTGTTTAAATGATCGAATTATCCAGAAGGTGTACTAAGTCCTATATATAAAGGATATCAGTAGTTGAGATATAAGAGTGTTTGAATCTCAATAACGGTATAGCTGTTTGACTAACAAGTCTAAACAATTTCAAATAAACTATTTTCAGTATGGCTTTTTCGCGTAGTTTAATACCTGCATTGCTTGGCCGAGATTGGTGGGACGCTTGGGATTTTCCTGCTCGTATTCCTGATCAGCATTTTGGGCTCGGGCTTCATGACAGTGATATTTTTACACCAACTATGTATCATATCTACTACAGACAACCCCGGCGACAAGTAAGCTCTCAAGCAAGCAGCGGCGGCCTCTCTCAGGTGAAAAACGACGCCGAAAAATTCCAGGTATCACTTGATGTTAGTCACTTTGCTCCTAACGAAATAAATGTGAAAACTGTAGAAAATTGCGTTGTCATAGAAGGTAAACATGAAGAAAAACCAGATGAGCACGGCTTTGTATCTCGACAATTTGTACGACGATACATGTTGCCCAAAGAAGTCGATCCAGAAACTGTAAAATCATCCCTGAGTTCGGACGGTACTTTGACGATCGAGGCACCTAAGAAAGCCTTGGAGGGTGAGCAGCCAAATGAACGAGTTGTACAGATTCAAATAAGCGATAAACCAGCATTGAAAGAAGGCCAGTAAAAACGTGTTCCAATAGAATGTTAGTGCTTAACTTCAGATACGTGTTCTTCTAAAAATGTGTAATGAATAGGTTTTATGCGTAATGATATAAGGTATTTTTCTCTACCAGAGAAAATAATTCAATCTAATTATCAAATAATATTCGCCAGTTGTCCGAGTTTTATGTATTTCACTGTGATAATTTGTCATTTATGTTAGCGATGATGTAATACTCAATATTTATCTATTAATAATACAAAAAAAGTAAAAACTCAGATGTTTTAAAGTTATATATTCTAAATACTTGTGTCTAATTTTGGAAATTGTGCTTCCTAATGTGCAAATAAATGGGTATAGATGTAGATAGCGTGTGCGAGTGTGAACTTTTATTATATTGCAAAACTTAAAACAGTGAGCTTTCTACACTATTCTGAAGTCAAAGTACATGATTACCACAACTAGTTATGTTTTTCATTTGTATAGAACAATTACGTGAAATTACCTGCAGTATCTCGAATATTGTGATAACGAGTATACTATTACTAATTACAAGCTCTATACTTACAAGATAACTAATTATTTCCAAGTAGTGTTTTTGCAACAAATATGTTTTAAAATTAACATTCTAGGTCTTTACCACGTGCCCGATTCCACCTATTATAGTTGTAATAAATGATTTATTTAAGTGGCCAATCATGTATGCTAAAAATGTTCATAAAAAAACGTAATTTTCTTCGCATGATTAACACACTGTGCGAAAATTTGTTTTTATAAAGTTCTGTAATAGGGTGAACAGATTTCCATATCGAAAAACTGGGGCAGCATAGCCCTTGCCCCTATTTTCAAATTGGTCATTACAAATTTGAAATTATTCTATTTTATTAACTTTAAATTTATTGAATTGCTCCACAATATTTCCAAAAATATTAACAGTGGCATTGTTTGTAAAATAACTTTTAACTACCTTTTTTGGGAAAAGACACAAAACAAATGAGCAGAAATAGTTAAATTATACATCCAAGAGAGAGGAAGGATCTAATTGATGTGTTTAAGATTGTTAAGGAGTGATAATACCAATGCATCATCTTTTTTTCAAAATTAAATTCTGGCAGAGTAGGAGTGATGATCTTCAGTTAAGGCAGTTTTTATTTTTTAACAGGGTAGTTGGCCTTTGTAATGGGTTGCCTTAATTGGTATGTGGTGTAAACAGTATATTTAATGGAGGTTAAAGGAAGGCTTGATAAATATTTGAACTATAAAGCTGGACTTGAATTATTATTATTTAATTGTTTAGTTTAGTGGATGGAACATCCTAGATAGACAATTGGTCCATTATTGTTTTTAAATGATATGCTAAAACTACAGTTTTTTATATTTTAAATGAAAGTATATTAAACTACAGTGAAAAATTATCAACATCTTTCTTGTTGGTATTGGTGTTACCCTGCTACCTTTAATTTAATATTTCAGTTTGTTATAATGCATCTTCATCACCATGTATATATAAACTGTACTGTCCATATGATGCACAAAGTTACACTATTAATAATAATAAAAAAAAAGAATTATCAACATTTAAAGTTTCAACGTGTATTCAATATTTTGTTTGTTTAGAATGATAGAAAACCCTCGCCTATCAGAGAAAGGTAATGTATTTGATTTCAGCATCATACCAAAGTATAGCGTTTCTTTCTGATGTAAGCTTAGCGTCAAAACCGGTGATTTTTTTCCCTCATTAACATTTTAGCAGGTTATAATATGTGTTTAAGGAAAGTTTTATTTCTCATTCTGTTACTTCAGGCTCAGTACAATAAATGTTGACTCCTAACACAACTATACCTTCACAGTTACAGTGTTGAAATGGTCAAACAAAAATGGAAAACAATCAATTGATCATTTTGTTTGAAATATAACTAGCTGGTAGTATTAAGTGCAACTTATTAAATACTGCTACTTGTATAAATATTGTTTAATATAACCAAATATATGTTGTTTTTATTCAAAGTTTACTGGTCAGCACAGTTCATGAAGTGAGTCTTTCTTTTCTTTGTTCAGAAGTAAAAAAGACAGTAATTTTCACTACTTTAAACCAAACTCTTAGCATATCTCCAACAGCATGAACCTAACAACCAAATCCAGCAACCAGCACCTCGTCATTTTCCTGTAATAAGATATGATTAAAACACAATAACAGATAGCTATTCAGTAAGAAAAATTTTACATAGTTATTGAGTTTTAAAGTTGATTATAAAACCCATGTTTGATTATATAACAACCCTAAATAATAATATAGCTTCTTAATAAAAAGGAAATGTGTAATTTAAGTTAATCTTTTGTACTCACTTCATCAATAAAAACTGATTAAGCTGTATTTGATAATTAAGTTCCCATTGGAAAAATATATGCTAAAGATCTATCAACCATATAAACTATTAACAGTTTGTTTCTTTGTACTGAATTAGAAACACAAACGAGAATGTTTTTAGTTAACTATCATTTAGACATTCTTTTTATTCAATTCAAAAATGTATTTTTTTACTATAATAATTCTAATTATAAATAAATGCCATATTTTAAACACATAAATAATATTTCTGTTACAAAAGAAATTATGTTTCAAACAGTTCGAAAAAAAACACTACAACATTTTGATCATATACTTTTGTACAAGAAATCTGTTGCTCTGTACCATAGTTAAGACCTGCATAAGGAATACTTTAAAAAACCTGTATATTTCTGATAGTCTAACTCTAAGGCCTTTGAGTTAAATTTGTTTGCAGGTATATTTATGCCAATAAAACAGAACTCCTAAAATCGATTACTGACACAAAATGTCTTTAATGAACAGATGTACATTAGAGATTGTTTTATATTACAATGGAAACATGGTATTGGCATGTACTTAAAATGATGTAGATTTATTACTATTGACATATACTGCTTTGATGAAATGTTTAAGCCTGTACCAACAAAATACTGATACTGGTGTTTACAATTTTGGCTCTAAATACCTAATCAGGATATTATAATCATGCTAATTAGAACTTACTCATAATAACAGTCCTCTGTATATAAAAATTGAGCAAATAATGAATAATATATATGCATGCTTAAAATACAGTTATTTATAGCAAAATCAGTTACAAACATTCGAGTAATTCCTTTTTCATTTAAAGTTAATTTTGAATATTGTATTTTATTATATAAGTTACTGAAAAACAGGCCCGGCATGGCCAGGTGGTTAGGACGCTCGACTCGCAATCTGTGGGTTGCGGGTTCGCATCCCCATCCCACCAAACATGCTCGCAATTTCAGCCGTGGGGGCATTATAATGTGACAGTCAATCCCACTATTCATTGGTAAAAGAGTAGCCCAAGAGTTGGCAGTGGGTGGTGATGACTAGCTGTCTTCCCTCTAGTCTTACACTGCTAAATTAGGGACGGCTAGTGCAGATAGCCCTCGTGTAGCTTTGTGCGAAATTCAAAACAAAACAAACAATACTGAAAAACGTTAGTAACTGAAAAACATAGGCATACAGGTTGGGAAATGCTAGAGTCAAACCATGAGGGAGAAAGGTTTTTGGAAATTCTTCAAGATGGCTTTCTTCACCAATTAGTCAAGGAACCCACTAGAAACAATGCTATTTTAAATTTATTAACTTAAAATATAGAAATGATTGAGAGGATGGAAATTGGAGAACATCTGGGTCAAATGATCATTGCTCTATTAGATTCAGTGTTTTGCTGCATATAATGATATTTTGGTCACAAATTAAAAAATGTAAATTTCGAAGGGATGCGACAAGAATTATCTGCTGTGAATTGGGCAGCTAAGTCACTTGGAGACAATGATCATTAACGATGTCTAAATTTTATAGATTTGTTTTTATTAAAATTAATATTCTTTAGGACACATCTAGCTCTTATAGACCGGTTACAGAATTGATTTTTCATTACGTAGAAGTGAGAATTCTCATGAGAAAGATATTTTTCATATTGCTGATGTCCAAAATAAGTGAAACTGCAAGTGGTATGATTGTACAAATACCAACTTTTTAAACAGATTTTGAAAATCAGGATCCTGCTTTCCAGTACTATGATTATTTTAAAAATATGATTATAAATAATGATAACTATTTAATTTTAAATTATAAAAATTGAAATGTTTGCTTTTAACTATTTGTTTTATATCAATCACAAGAAGAAATAAAGAAGTAATCCTTCAAATCACTGGATTATAACCTGACTGAACTAATCATTTACAGAATATAATAATGTTATTTTAACTTTGTTTGACTTATTTAGGTTACTTTATAGCTATGTGGTCAACATTGATAAATATTATATTATTGTATTAGAAATCTCTTGTATCACATAAAAAATATTGAAAATTTCATTAGTGTTACACAGTTAACTTTTATAAATTTAACTAGTATCATACCTTCATTATATAAATTAAACATTACTGCAGCTAGTGTGGACAAGTTAAACATTGTTGTTACTTGTTAATACTATATTACCGGAGTAGACTTTGTAATTTAATATTATTCATTCCCTAATGGTTTTCAAACTTTACAAAATAAAACAATGTTATCCTAATTTGTATGTTGTTTGACTTTGGGCTACTTGACTCTTAACTAACTTAACTCTAAATTATTGTGCCTGAAGTCTGAAGAAATGGTTTCCTCTAGCTTTTTATATTTGTTGCCACACAATAACATTTTTAAGACACAAAGTTCAAATGTGGAAATTTTTTAAATATTCAAGATAAACATATTCCTTATAGAAAGAAAAGGGTGGCTACAAGTAAAAAATCAGGTTGGCTTACAACCTGGTTTTTTAAGGGATAAAATTAAAGAAAATCATCAAAAATGTAAGAAATCTAAATTGAATGGTATGACCGGTGATTTAGAAGATCAAGAAAGTTGTTCGAATGGAAAATTAGGACAACAAAAATAATGTTTGAGAAAATGTTAGCTGAAAATGTAAAATTAACAGTGTGGATTTCTTTCAATATATTAAGGGTAAACAAAATGTTAGGATGGGGGTAGGACCCTTGAGGAATGATAAAGGAAGGCTCATATATGATGATTATGAGATGGCTGGGTTATTAAATTTTGCTTTTTCTTCACTTTTTGCTAGCAAAGATTTTAGCAGTATTCCCCATCTTGAACAGTTGATAGATGGAAACAAGATGAGTGCATTAATTCTGAACTTGTTAAGAAAATTGGGAAGTTTATAGAACAATAAGGCTCCTCGCCTAGATGATATTTCCCCAAGGGTTTTGAATGAGGCTAAGGATTGGATATGTGAGCAACTTACTACAATTTTTTTTAAGTCCTTGAATAATGGGCAGGTACCAAAG